TTGTCAATCATGCGCCGTTTCCAAATAGTTGGGTCGCAATCTATATCTCACGAGGGCAGGAGCTTTCACGTGACAATAGTCACTATATCCATCTGCAGTTCAGGTAAACGTCAACAGAAACAACTGAAAAATGCAACTTCTTTTCAAAGATTTTGAGTGTTTCCAAGTAAACAATGCAGCCGTTATCCAGATTTTGAGTGTTTTGAACATAAAACGGTCGATGTTGTTTTATGATAGGATGATACATCCAGGGAAAGGACTTCCTTCAGAGATGCTAAGTGATATGTTTGAGACTCGAGATGGATGGGACACGCCTGATGGTTTAGGGCTTAAGCTTTCACGGAAACTATTGGAGCAGATGAATGGTCGTGTGAGTTATGTCAGAGAAGACGAACGGTGTTTCTTTCAGGTGGATCTTCAAGTGAAGACAATGTTAGGGGTTGAGACTAGAGGAACAGAGGCTGGTTCAAGCATAAAGTAGAAATTTTGAGTTACAAAGCTTATGAAATTTGGTCTTTTACCAAATGCATTAATTAGAACAAAGGTATCATTATTTATTACCAATAAGATAAGATGTATCTAAACTATCCTATGTATACATTTTGGAGAGATGATTTGGCCAACCAAGACAAAAAAAACACAACCATCAATTTACATGTCTAGATCAAATAATACTTTCTGATTCCGGAAACCAAACAACCAGAAAGATCTGAGAAAACCAGAAAATTTTCTAAAGTTGCTATGCAGTCTGTTGCTGTTCATCATCATTATCATCATCATCTCATCCTAAAAACTGATATTTACGTTTTAAACCAAAGGCAATAATGGGATTCACTTGACTGTCAGCTTTGATGCGTGCTCTCGCTGACTACAGGATGAGAAACCGTTGAATTTGATGCCTCGAGCTGAGAATTCTCCCGGATGATCTAGTTTCAAATATAGAGATGTATGAGTCAACCAGTTCATCAGATAAACACAGAACATATAAATGATCATTTAAGATCCCGTGTTTGTTGTAAGAGATTGTTTACCGGATATTTAGATTCTGATCCATCAAAGACAATAGGTTGGCATCTCCTATCTTCGTTCATCAAGCTCGAGTTCTGAAAGTGAGCAATAAGCGCAGCTTTACCTTGGATTCGTGCATAAGCCAAGGAAGCAACTTTCTCGCTGTTGAACTTCTCCCATTTTTTTCCATTAAAGACCTATGAAGCAGATCAGAAGCATAAGTTCATCCCCAAAATTTTCAATCTCACAGAAACAACACTAGAGACTCAATCAGGTTTTGTACCTCGTACAATGCAATGATGAATTTAGGAGACACCATATTGATAAATGCATACCCCACATTACATTTATTCTGCACACAAGAAACCAAAAGAGAGCAACATAGAATTACGATCACGTGATGTCAAAGATTCAACAACAAACCTAAATGGTCTTTACCTTGAAATCAATAGGCAAATATAGAAAATCATAAGTTCCGCTGTTTTTCTCGTCGATGGCAGCTAAGAGCATATTCCGGGTATACCTGAGAACAAGGAAAAATATCAGTTCTTTCATATCCCACAACGCGTAAGCTAACAGGACCACAGCAAAATCAAAGGATAACTCTTACTTATTAGGGATATTTTTTATCATCAAGGTTGTGCGTGGATCTTCACCCCTCATAATCTTACTCAAGTCAAGCTGAAACTGTATCTTGATGTCGACTTGGTTAACGTTACTATTAAACTGTTGGTTCCTTCCAACCTCAAATGGGTCGTCAATGGAAGCCATTGTAGGAACAGGTAAGTGGTAAGAGTCATTGCCCATAAACAATTGACTAAATCTTGGAGAAGACAACATTTTAAAACTTGGAGAGCTAGTTTCACGTAAGTTTCTTTGAGAATTCATATGACCACTTGTTCCTCGGAAAGCCATTGATGAAGTTTCAGGGGACCTCGGGAAGAATCCAGATGGCGCAGATCCGACATGATGGAGCTGGTGGAGCGACCCGTTCTGAGCCGAGTAAGGAAACCTGTTATTTTTTACGTTTGAAGAGAATGGATTCACAGGCCAGGCTGAAGAACTAGGGCTTCCCCACAGGAACTCTGATCCAGATAATGTTTCTACGTGACTCGGGTGTGAGTTCAAAGAACCAAATGAAGAAACAGATCCAAACGACTGCGGTTGCTGAAAGGTAGAAGCTTTGTGGCTTGCACTATTATAGCTGCTGCTTGAAAACAGGTGATCCAAGTGGCTAAACCTTCTTCCCTCTTGGCCATTGTTCACCGATGCAGCCTTTATCAGATTTGCTTCTTGAGAATGCATAATTGACGAAAATTCTGGATAACGGATGTTCTTTGTTGGACTCAAGTTTCCAAATACTGGCGACTTACTGAAACTTTGTAGAGGATGATCAACAGGACTATTATACCACTTGTTCCCTAGAGGAGAGCTTGCTAAAGGCGACTCAACATGATTCGGGTAGCTGTGGTAATCATCATGCTCCAACTCCGGATTCATTTGCAACATCATGCTGAGACAAAAAATCATAACAGAAAATTAGTCCACAATTTCATCAAAGTCAGTTTCTATGGTATCAGTATATTCACTTTCGACGTGCACCACCAGGACGACTATGTTCAAGCTTGATACGTTTTCCAGCAATGTCAGTCCTGTTCAAAGCCTTGAGAGCTGCATCAGCTGATCTAACGTCAAAAAATTCAACAAATTTGTGATGCCTCTTATTTGGTGTTTCCCGTACCTGCTTTGTCAGAACAATAACTTACACAAACGTTAACCGTTATGCAGGTCATGAGAGAAACCTAAAACCTCAAAAAAACAAACAGAAACAACAGAATAAAAACGCATCACCTCCTTGATCTCGCCATAAGCACCGAATATATTTTCAAGGTCTCTGTTGGAAACTGATGGAGCCAAGTTGAAAACCACAAGAGTTCCTTGGTTAACATCTTTCTCCGATGGATTATCCTATAAAACAGAACAATTGTATATTAAAAAAGAGAATGCAAGAATAATACATACATATATAAGAGCATTCAAGAATATGAAACCTTGGGGATTGAGAAATGTATGTCCAGTTTCCTCCGTTTAATTAGCTTGCCTTGTAATGCTCGCATAGCTGCTCTAGAAGCACGGATATCGTGATAAGAGATCATTACAAATCCCCTGTGCTTGCAGGCTGTATACAGAGTTCGGATATCTCCATATTGCTGCCAAGAATGGGAAAACAAACATAAAGATCCAATCTTTCCCCCTATAAACATTCAATTTTTGAGAATACAAAAGTGAAATTACCTCAAAAAGAGCTTGCAATTCAGAATCCTCAACGTTACTGTTAATATTCCGAACAAACAGAGTCCTTGAAGGATGTTCACCATAAGGATGTTCGCCAGCAATCGATCCCGCTCCATTTTGGAAAATGTTTTGAGGTATAACATTGTCAACGTTAGAATCAGCAAAACCAATTCGTGAGAAGCCCTTGTTTAGACTGTCATATGGGTCAGTCTCCAATTCAAGACCTCCACCGCTACCAAATAAATCATAATCTTCCAAGTCATCCAACGTAGCTGGCAAAGAACTTAAGTTTAAGTCATCCATTAGACCAGAGAAAAGCTCTTCCTCATCATCGGGAAGCATGCTTCCGATTGGATGTGACTCACCATCATCAAGCATCTTGCCAGTGCCTCCATTGTATTGATTTAAGCCGGAAGCAATTTCATCAACAGACTGATGGTAGCTCGCGCGAGGGTTGACTGCAAGAGTTAAAGATTATAACATAATCCAATGAATGACGATATAAAGACGATTTAGACTACTCGAGGTACATACGGTTTTGGTGTTGAAGAACAGGTAGAGAACTGGAAAAGAGAGAAGCATCACTTGAAGCATGGAAATGATCAGATCTTGAAAACGTTCCATTTGGGATATTCATTGCGAAAGCCCTGCACTTCGATTAACTCCGCTTCTTCGCAACAACGACGAAAAGGGGGATTCTTTTAAACCCTGATGGAGGCAAATGATTAAAAGAGGATTCAATCGAAACAGAGAAATATAATTTTCTTAACCAAGTTGGATACAATTTTCACAAACAGAGGATGACAAATTCAACTAGCAATAATAACTAATGATTTTCAAAACAAATCCCTAATGATTCAATCTCTATAAACCCTAAACCCTAATCAAAATCAAATTGGGATAAATCATCATCATCAACAGAGACAGTTACCACCAAGACCTATATAAGATTCGGTGCAGCTGCAGCTAGTTCAGAGAAATTGAACAGAAACGATCACAATCAATTAAAAGCAGAGGAAAACTAAGAAAACAGAACAAGAACCCTAATTTCAATATAGAAGAAGCTAAAGTGTGATCATATAAATGTTTTAGATTAAAAAAGGAACCAACTTTCTTCTACTTCACCCTTTAGTTTTTTTTAGCACGATCACTAACACAAACCCATTGCCGCGAGAGGCAAAGGAACACAAAGTATCATATCAATGAGTTTAAAAATCGAAACTTTTTAAAAAATATTTAGAACCAAAAAAAATCGAAACTTTAGCAGGAAGAAAAAAGAAACTTACTTCAATAATTTGTCCTCTCCCACGAATACAGAAGAAACGCTTTCTCTCTCTCTCTCCCTATGACTCTATATATATATATACACATTGATAAAGAAGAGAGAAAATAAATATAAAAAAATTGATTATTCGTGAATTCTTTTGAAAGCATTATTAAAAAGAGAGAATCTTTAATTGGATGGAGAAGAAGAGAGTAATGAGCGAATGATTGAGTAACAAAGGACCAAGTGGCACGAAATTTTTTTACTCATTTTTTCTTTTTTCTTCCAATAAATTCAACTATATTTAAACTTCTTTTGGAATCCGTAAATATATCTGTTTAATTATCTTTCAGTTGATAATTATTAGTCAACTAAATATTTGACAAACAAAAAAAAACATTTCACTTAGGTGTTTTGAATTTCCATTTCTTGTTTTATCTTTTCCGGTTTAGTTAGGGCATCATTATTTCCATTTAATGTTAATTTAATTAAATCCTAAGTGAATTTGGAATCTCCGATGAACCACCTCTTCTATAAATAAAGACGATCGAGATCGATTGTAAGAGAGGCAAAACAGAAATTTTGTTAGACGTAATTTAATCATTAAGGATTATGGAGGGCACTTCGACATGGATTCTAAACTATGAATCTACGACGCACATCGTTGATTACAAAAATTCAGGATCCTTCTCAATAAATATCCAAGGATTTGAGCGGATTCTTATCCGGAGTCCTAGCGGTCGTGAAACTTTGGCTCAACAAAAATATCTTGGAGAGAAGAATGCAACAGTAACAATCGAATCCGAGATCCCACCTTCTTTCCTCACTGGAGAAGAAATATGTAGTAGATATGTGGCTAACGTGTTGTCCAAGGAAAATATCAACAACTGGATTCAGCAAAGAGTTGTTCCTAAAATCTGCGAAGACGTGATTAATATAAGTCGCCGCCTTGAAGAAGAAGAAGAAGAAGGTTTCTTGGTTGAAGCTGAAGTTGAAGTTGTTCTAGAAACATTGTATACTGATTGGTTAAGCTTCAATGATTACGACTCTCAAGGTGTTCTAATACCAACAGAAGAAGAGTGCATAATATGTCTAGAAGAGTTATCATCATCAAGTGGTGAGAGGAGGATCATGAATTTGCTTTGTTCCCACAGTTTTCATAAGGATTGTCTTCTCCCGTGGCTGCGACGCAAGCGTTCATGTCCAACTTGTCGTGACGACGTCCACAATCCTCGACTAGAAAGAAGACCACCAGGAATGATAATTTGTAAAAGAAATTAAGAGCATACAATTTAATTTAATAAAAAAGAGATGTTTTATTATTAAGAGCATACAATTTTTTTTTAGTTGGAAGGAAAAAAGAAAAGGCCGGAAAAGAAAGTTTATTGGGCCACAAAGTGAGCCCATTAAGTATTTAATATCAGAAACCCTAGTGTACGCTTATAAAAAGCATTTTAGGTTTGTTGTGCTGTTTTACGGAGTCGCTTTTGAGAGATCTTACGAAGAAGCAAAAATGGCGGTCCCGTTGCTTACCAAGAAGGTCGTGAAGAAGAGGTCTGCTAAGTTCATCAGACCCCAGAGCGACCGCAGAATCACCGTCAAGGTAAACCCTTTTTCTTCTTAGGGTTTTAGTAGATCAATCACAAAATTTAGTGGACTCTGAGTCTTAAAGTTTGAACCTTTAGGATGCAATATGGTGGTTGAATTTAGTATCTGATTTCAGTCTCTAAGAACGAAGAATTTACATGAAAATGATGATTTTACTTAGCCTGAGTAGTCCCATGAACAACATTCATTGAAATCCTGTTTAGATTGAGTTTGATTCAAGTTTTAGTTTTTGATTGAGTCTCTTATGTCTGTTGTTTTTGGAAGAATCCGAGCTTTGTTGATATGTGTTTGTGGTGATTTGGTTTTGATTTCTTACATTTTAGACATTATGGTTGTGAATTCTTTCTCAGGAAAGCTGGAGGAGGCCAAAGGGTATTGATTCAAGGGTGAGAAGAAAGTTCAAAGGTGTGACTTTGATGCCCAATGTTGGTTACGGATCTGACAAGAAGACTCGTCACTATCTTCCCAATGGATTCAAGAAATTCGTTGTTCACAACACAAGTGAGCTCGAGTTGTTGATGATGCACAACAGGACTTACTGTGCAGAGATTGCTCACAACGTCTCCACTAAGAAGAGGAAGTCAATTGTTGAGAGAGCTTCTCAGCTAGACATTGTTGTTACCAACAGGCTTGCTAGGCTCCGTAGCCAAGAAGACGAGTGAAGAAGAACCAAGCCTACTACTTGAGATATTTAGTTGTTTCTTCTGTTTTGTTGCAATTTTCCTTTTTGTTATAAGACGATTTTTGATTACTGCTGTGTTTGTGTTTGGAGTGAACAAACATGAGTTTTGGTTTTAGTATGAAACAGATCAAGTTAAGACCTTTGGTTAAAACTATTTCAGATTCATTACTTGTCAAAGATTGAGCCTTTTTCATCTAGAATTTGATAATTTATCAGAGAGGAGGATCTTAAGTAACACTGGTGGATCAAATTACTAGTAGACCTATCTTTTGTCTTGTGGCTGAAACAATGCATTTATGTACAGTTAATAATGGACTGTTTGATGTGAGATTGAATTAGAAGATGATCAGTTGAAGACAGGAAAAGAATAAGGTCTTAGGTTTATCAAAATCAAACAGATTTGAGCAATGTAGTCAAATTAAGAGTAGAGCTCTCTCATCTTGTGACTGAGTCGATGTATTTCGCTAGCAATGTCTTTCTCCCTATCGGTTTCGGAGTAGAAAGATTCCGTTCGATGTTAATGGAATCTGGTGAAGAAGAACCATGAATTTAAATGGCGTAGTTGTAGCAAATCTCACAGATGTTTTCTAGTTTCTGTTGATCAAAAGCTCCTTAACCAAAAGCTAATTGCAGAGGACGGTTCAAGCTCTTAAGCAAGTCTTTGTTATTTTCTCAAATGCAATAGTCTTCTGATACTGAAGAAGACTTCCCTCGAGCTTCCCTATGATTTAGAGAATAACGTGAATAATGTGAACCTTCGTGACTCTTCGAGTCAAAATCGACCATGCATCAAACTTACATGAACAATAGCTATCAATCAAACCAAAGCATCAGAGATAAAACAAAAATCAGCAAATGATATACAATTTCAGTCATAATCATGTATCTGACAAACAAAACAATCCTCAATATATCATATTGTTGCTAGATTCAAGTTTTGAATATTCTGTAATCACTTTTGTTTACTCTTTAATTCTGTTGTGTTTTGGAGTAATTTACCTGATTGACTTACAAACACAACAGAACTAAAGACAACTATATTAGTAGTACTCATGAGTTTATAAAGTCAATGACTTTTGGTTTCAGTATGACACATACTCTTAACACCATTTGGTTACTGTTTCAGATTTTGTAGCTTTCTCCAAAGTTTTGACCTTTCGTCTACAAAACTATATTCATGACGTTTACATAGTTAAAGAGTGAGTTTTTAAGAGATGGTGAGTCGCGTCATTTCTCAACGGTTCAGGTTCCTTAGGTGCAAAGTTTGTATATTAATCACTCAAAGAGCCAAATCTTGGGACAGAGTTCGTGGGATTTTCAAAAGGTTTAACTTTTCCCCATCTGGTAAACGAAGAAGACAAGTTTATTGGAGAGACACTAAACCTGTTCGACGAAATGCCTCTAAGAGTTTTTGTACTGTGAGAATGTAGAAGAGACGCGTGACTTTGTGTTTACGTTTGGCTTGTAGTATAAAAAGCGGCTACGTCAGCTCAAACGTCTTTGTATAAAAGACTACTTAGTACATATAGAAAGTCTCTCTCTTTCTCTTTCTCTCTCTCTCCCTGAAACGAGAAGATGAAGATCAGAGATTCGTGTTTGTACTGTAGGTCGTCTCTCTTTTGGAGGATCACTGTGTAATTCCCTCTTTTATTTAATGAAAAGGTATGAGTTAAAAAAAAAAAAAAAAAAAAAAAAAAAAAAAAAAAAAGATCAGAGATTCGATTGAAGATACAAACGAAGCAGAAGAAAGTGATACGTGTATGAAGAAGAAGATGAGTCCTGAATCTTCGATCTTTTCAACTATTCTTACTGATATTGAAGAGAATCCAACGATATTGCAGAAACAGAGTAATTTGAGCGGTGAATTTTCAGTCTTTTCAACAATTATCACTGTTGGTGATGAAGAGAATCCAACGATACCGCAGAAGAAGTTGAAGAAGAGCCGAAGAAGAGGATCAATGAAGAAGACCCCAATTGACTTCTCTTGTACGGTATCACAAAACCTAACTCATTCAGATTTAGTCGGCATTCTTAATGAAGAACTAAAGATTCTGAGATCTGAAATAGAGATCAAAGGTCAAAAAAGTGATCAATTTGTGTCTTGTGATTCTGATCACGTTAGAGAAGAATGTGATTTTGTGGAAGAGGGGAAAGTGGAACAACGTGAAGAAGTTAAGTTTCTTGCGGATGAGGTTATAGAATGGCTCTTAAGAGATGAGATAGTAGAATCCGAAATCTCTACTGATGCTGAAGATTCGGTGTGCAAAGTAGATGGTAACATTCTTGGGACTTTTGATGGGATGTTGTCAACTATGCTTGGAGATGAAGATACAGGGCCTTGTGGTGGGATTGATGAGTTTATTGAGAATATGTTAGAAGAGATTGAGAAAGATGGAAGTTACTTAGACTGGATTAAAGATAGTTATGTGTTTGGAGGGTTGCTTGAGAATCTGATAAGAGATAGATTCAGAGAGAAAGCTGAGAAAGAAGAGAAGGAGATTTCTTCTTGGATCTCTAATGGAGAACCTGAAGTTGATGAAACTGGAGTTGCAGAAGAAGAGAAGGAAGAAAAAATGGATGTTAAGGAGACGAAGAAGAAGCTGGCTTCAATGGTGGTCAAAATGGAGTGGACTGAACAAGAATCAACTGTGACTAAACGTGATTGTTTCGGGTATAGACAACGGTTGTATTTGATTGAGAAACTGACAAAACGACATGAGGATCTGATGAAGATGAGAAGAAAAGCTGTTAGATTTGGAATGGAGCTTTCGTTTCTTGTGGCGGAATTTATGTTTTTGATACCTAATGAGATTCTTGCTGGTGAAACTGGAGATTACAGTATCTGTACAAAGCTATTTGGGGTTAATGAAGATGATAAGGGTACAAGTGTAATCATAGGAAAGCTCGAGGCAGTCTTTGAAATAGTGATTTGGAAGAAGGTAAGCAAGGAACATGATGTGGACCTTCCTGAATCTATTTTTCGGTATGATGATTTCATTCGTCTTTGCGCAGATGCAACTCAAGCCTTGGGAAAGATTGTTTGGGATCTGAAAGGGAAACACTGTGAAAGACTCAAGCTTTCTGATTTGGATTTTCTGTTTGAAGATTGCCAAAAAGTGTTGATGAAGATAGAACTGAAGCTAGCAGAGATGAAGCAATGGGTTTACAGATCGGTTTCTGCGGATTATGAGTCGTTTTCGAAGTCAGAAAGGTCTGATAGTTTTCTCAGAATAAAGCTCATGAAGAGGGTCATAGCTGATAACAGATATGGGAGATCAGTGATTGGATCTTACTTAGTAGAGATATGGCAGTCTCTGTTTCAAGCAGAGGCATTACAGGAGCTGTGAATGATTCGAAGCATGATTCTGGATCTCTACTGTTCTTGGACCACAGAATTTTTTTGTGCACTTTGATTGGTACATTTTGTGTAAAGTTTTTTTGCTCTAGAAATCAAAACGATGTAGGTGTTTAGTTCTTACACACGCTTTATACGAATGCTAAGAATTTTCGCATATTGTATCATCACAAGTTATCGAAAGCAAAAAAGCTACCCGCTAAGAACCAATCCGCCCACTCTGAGTAAAAACCACAGAACCACGAGTCTTGTGACCGGCAATGTTCTGTGGTGTTGCCTTGGAGGTTCGTGTACTCGTCTTGAACACGTCAATGAAAATATCACGTTGGTTATTACTATAGCCACAACAAGAATCGAACCTTGGAGTTTCTCAAGCTCAACAAGGAGTTTTAAACCTAGCTTTGAAACAATCATAAACTCCCAAAGAATAAAGAACACAACAACTGTATCTGCCAGAAATGTGGAAACCTTGTGTAACATGAATCCAATTTGTGGCATACATAGTCTAAAACACTCAGACAAAGGGTTAGATCACCTTTGAAGATTAAATTTTTAAGTTAGCTTTTAAATCAAGTGATAACAAGGATAAGCAACATTACCCTAAAAAGAGTTAAGTTCAACACAAATGCATTTGATTACAAGAAAATGGTAGATTAATTGATGAATTCCCCAAAACATTCAAGTTTGTAATTGCAAATTAATAATAGATTCTGTAAAAAAAATACTGGTCTTGTATTTGTATGTAATAACCATAAATTATATAAGTTCGCCATAAACGTCTTAAAGGCTCACAACTTGAGAGAACAAAAACAATAACAGACAAGGAATCGCAACGAAAGACAAACACTGAAAAACTAAAAAGAACCTGTAAGGACTTATATAAAGAGCAGAAATTGTAGACATGTCTGTTCTGAACACTACTAGAAGCTGTTTCATTTGAGAAAATTTGTGATTTGAGAGACTGAATTTTTTTCATAGGTAATCGAGAGAGGAAACCGAGAATCATTCGCCGTGATACCACTTATGCAGCTTCCGAGTTTATAGGCAACACGCTGTTTCTGCGATTAGATAGAATACAACTCGTCAACAACTCGAAAACATGTGAGTTTTCAGACAACAATGCAGGATTGAGGCTATTTTACTCGCAGCTAACTTGACAGTACCATTGATGTGTATAGACTCTTGCTACTTTGAAAGAAATGTTTCCATATGGTTCTTCATTTTTTATCCATGAACTAAATCTAACAATCATATATAAACTCGTGAAGCTCATAAAAGAGAGAGACTATGCATCCGACAATGTTTAAGGAGGAAGGTAGAGAAACTTAATGAAGTTGGGGGTTACCTGAGTTTATCTACTGGATACTGTGGCCACATCAAACAAGCCACAGCAACTAAACCACGAGGTTCTTTGCGCAATTCCATGTGTTGGTATCAGCACGGGAGCCTGAGAGAAAACTGAGGTTAGTCCTTTTGGTAACATAAGCAACAAAAAAATATGAACCGAATAGGTTAACAATAAAGACCTCTTCCTCATGAGATATGACAACATCAGACTCTCCGTTGCCTTCAGGAACACCGTTGGATTCTGGTAGAGGCGGTGATGTTTTTCCCTCATTTTCTTTGACATCAGAGTCAGTTGCACCTGAAGACGCCTGCCTAATCTCATCAGATGCAAGAGAAACTTCAGCGGCAATCTCAGATGGTTTAGGCAAAGAATTCTCATCAGCCTCGTTTGAGATTATTGTATCAACATGCGAAATTTCAACCAGTTCTCCAGAGTTGGGATCACTAGGCACAGCTGAATCCATCAAACCGGTATTCTCTACAATCGCATTAGCAGTACACCCCATAAATGGAGCATCTCCAGCAATTGGCACAGGTTGAATTGGCACAGAACTCACAGTAACAACCTCAGAAACAGCATCACCAGTCTCCTTATTATCATCTATCTTCTTGACTTCCCGGGACTCATCATCCGAGCTGCTGCTGCTGCTACTGCTACTACTGTTGCTACTAGAGCTCTTGTCATGATTATGGCTTGAATCAGTGATCTCTATGCGCTCATCGCTCTCACTTTCGCCTTGGCTTCTCGAATCTAGCACATCAGTTTACAACTCCAATCAATTTCACTAACAGAGTGATTTATCAGTGACTATTCAAGTCAAATCTAACTATGGTACCATCCAAAGAAGCAAACCTCAAAGAGAATGAAACAAATAGTAAACAAAACTGGAACAGCTACTAATCAAACCAAAGCATCAGAGATAAACAAAACTCAGCAAATAATAAACAACTTCAATCATAATCATGAATCTGATAACCAAAACTATCCTCAAGTAAGTCCAAAACCGAAAACTAGATTCAACCCAGATGGATTACGAAACAGAACATGCTAAAAATAACCGAAAGATCAAATTTTTACAGCTTGAGATCCCAAAATTCTGAACCTAAAACCTTAATAGAAACACACTGAAGGATTAAAAGGAAGTAAAAAGTATACCCATTTGTTTAGATCGATGAACACAAACAATAAAAATCCAAACTTTGAAGAAACTAAAAGAGAACAAAGTAAAAAAAAAAAAAAAAAAACTCAGATTTAAAGCGAAGCTTAATATAAAAACAAACAAGAAAGGTCGCCTAAACGTGTGTGAGTGATTGAAATAATTGAGATACAGAGAGACAACAACAACCAAAAAAGGCAAAAAGCAGAAAGTAGTAATGAGATTATGAGGTGTTAAAGAATGAAACCATGGTTGTTGGATTTGTGATTGATTAGAGTAGAAGATGCTTGTTGTTGTTCTTCCTCTTGCTTTTTCTTGGCAGCTTTCCTTTTCTTAGCACCTGAAGGCATGATTTAGGCTCCTTTGGTGGGGATCGATCTCAAACAACAGCTATGGCGGATCGTGGCTTTGTCTCTTTGATTTCTCTCTGTTAAAATAAGGAAATAAAAATGGCGTCTTTTTTTTTGTCAAGCCGTCAAAGTTTCAAAACTCAAAACTGTGGAAGTGGGAAAGTTTTGGGTCGTTTATAGATTCTTTATACATGTGAAAGGGTTTCTTCGTTTTATTGATTTTGTTGTGTTTGTTTCGTTTAGTACTAATTTTAGTCATTAACGAAATATATAGATTTTTTTGTAAAGTTAGTTCAAACAAAATCTTCACAACTTGATTGGGTTATAGATAAATTAAAAGTAAAAATTGTTGTCATTCAGCACTTTAGATTAAACAAAATTATGTTTTTAATCGTACAAATATACTTTTGTCTATTGGTTGACTAAAAAAGATTATAAGAAAAATAACTTCTTTTAGTTTACAACAACAATATTGCAATTTTGAGTGACTTTTGTTGCATGATTTTTTTTTTAAAATAGAACCTTGTTTAAGAACATGGAATATGGTAAAGTATGAAATTTTAAGTCGGTAGTGTATGATATATATATATATATATATATATATATATATATATATATATATATATATATTTTTCAGTCGGTAGTGTATGATAAAATAAAATAAAAGTATAGGGTTGTCTTTTCAGATTATAATTATGTAATGGCAGTTAGGACAAAATGAAAATGATATGGGAGGAGTGGGGACAAGAAACAAGTGGTTATGAGTTGTCCATGTCAGATGTTTTTCGTTAATACCTATACTTTTAATTTACTTATCTTTAAACGGATTTAATTACTCATTAATAATCCGTAACGTACAGCTTCCAAATAATTCAATCGCGAACCTCCTTTAACCGAACCGGACCGGTTTGGTTTAATCTCAGAGATTAGTCGAATCGACCCGACCCGACCCGACTCGGCTCAGATCGATGTGTGCGCTCTGTGATTGACTGATTTCTCAGAGGGATAATCAGTGACACATCGAGTCGAAGAAGAACATACATAACCTTTGAATCAGATCTGATCTGTTTTGTCAGTTTTGAAGCTGGTCTGATCAAATTGAGATTTCTCAAAAACCCTTAAAGCTTGTCTCTTTTGTTTTCTCTGAATCAATTCGGGTAAATCAAGAGTAGACGTAACAATGGATGCTTTTAGAAGACAAGCGAGCAAGCTTAGGGATCAAGTCGCAAAGCAGCAACTGGTAGGTCTTAAATCTGCGAGTATAAATAGTCTAGGAATCTTCAAATTTGGAAACTTTTATCATGGGTTTTTTCAATTCCGGAGCTCTGCTTAAGTTTCTGATTTTGCAAGCTGCATACCAATTTCATCTTGTCTTGATCGATTACTTGTATATTAAGTCTTATAGAGAGTTGTTTGATATGTGTTGATTGATATGTGATAATGGGGAATGTAGGCTGTGATAAAGCAATTCAGTGGGACTGGCTATGAAAGCTCAGATGTAATGGTGATTGATGAGCTAGAAATGCAAAGGCATCACCAACTCGATAAACTTTACCGCTCTACTCGTTCTGCCAAGGTTAGACTGACATTGACTTAATAATAATGTTAATGGTATTGTCACAGTTTATATGAGTTCATTGTTAGGGGAGAAGGTTTCAGTATGATTCATCATAGCATAAGATCCTCAAACATATGTTATTGTTGTCACTTTCAGGAGTTCCAGAGAGATATTGTTAAAGCCGCTGAGGCATTTACTTCCATCGGTCTCAGACACATTGAAGCAGGTACTTATGAGTGTTTGTTTTGTGGTACCTATCATTAAATTAAGTTACACTATGATGCATTTATGGGTTTTATTTTGATAATCTTTAAAATTTCAGGAACCAAGTTGTCTGAAGATTGTTGTAGGTATGGGAACGAAAATAGTCAGAATATCGATGAGAACATACTGGCCAAGGCTGCAGCTATATACGGTGATGCTCGGAAACATGTAGACAAAGAACAAGAAGACTTCAACAAGCTTTTGGCTTCTCAGGTTCGGCTTGGATTATCTGTGTTTAGTCTTAGTATGTTACTTAGAACTAAATGTGGTAGGTAACAAGAGTAAACCTTTTTGTTAAATGCGTTAAGGTTTTGGATCCTCTTAGAGCTATGGTTGCCGGTTCTCCTCTTGAAGATGCTCGTCATCTTGCCCAACGTTACAGCCGCATGAGACAAGAAGCAGAGACACATGTAATCTTCTTAAAATCTCAGTTCTATGATGATGTATTGATGTTGGCTTTTTTGTGATGTAAGTTAAAACGTAAAAAAAAAAAAAAAAAAAAACAGGCAACAGAAGTCTCTAGACGGCAAGCACGTGTAAGAGAAGCTCCGATTCCAGAAAACGTGGCAAAGCTTCAACTAGCGGAAGCAAAAATGCAAGAGCTAAAAGCAAATATGGCGGTTCTCGGTAAAGAAGCAACTGCTGCATTGGCTGCTGTTGAATCACAGCAACATAGACTCACTTTCCAGAGGCTTGTGGCTATGGTATGTTTTACATACACGCACACACTGGATTTTGTGTCTTACATAGATTGATATTTACTGTATCGCTTATTCTAGGTTGAAGGGGAGAAGAATTATCACTTAAGAATAGCAGCCATCCTCAGTGACATTGAAGCTGAGGTTAGTAATGGATGAATCGTTTTCATATCTAATCCTAATCCAAGACTCACACTTTTGGCCTTACCTCGTTTCTTAGATGGTAACCGAGAAACAACA